CACACACACACACACAGTCTCTCACACACACACAGTCACACACACACAGAGTGACACACTCTCACACAGTCACTCACACTCACACACACACAGTCACACACACACACACACTACACACACAGTCACACACACACACAGTCACACTCACACAGTCTCACACACAGTCACTCACACACACTAACTGACATATTCACACACTCAGACATACTCACACACTCAGACATACTCACACACTCAGACATACACACACACTCACACACTCAGACATACACACGCTCACAGTCACACACAGGCACACACCCACACACAGTTACAGTCACACACACACACACAGTCACACATACACACACAGACACGTGTTTACACTTCTGTACTTGTGAGGACTCTCATTCATTTACAGCCTCCAGAGCTCACCTCAACTTTACACTCATTTACTAAATAAAATGGACTTACGTGAAAATAATTCAACATCTACAGGATCAAGCTACAAGTTTCCAAAATGTCTCCACTTTCAAGAAGGAAAAAGTCCATACTTTCTAAAAATATCCTTAATTTTCCATAAATGTCTTAACTTTTCCCGACTCCGTTTTTTTTAAATAACATTTTTCATTTTCAAAACTTCTTAATGTTTAAAAATCTCCTCGTGTGTGTGTGTGTGTGTGTGTGTGTGTGTGTGTGTGTGTGTGTGTGTTCAGGTAATTCAGCCAGTAAGACTGAAGGCTCAACACTTTCTTCCCACGAGACCAAAGATGACGGCAGAGAGCTGACACGACCCAGCAGGCCTGCAGTGAGTACACACACAAACACACACACACACACCTACACACACATACATACTCACACACACGCACCCGCACGCACACACACCTACACACACACACACGCACACAGATTAAATGTTTGATTAAATAAACATTAGAGGATGTTGGAGAATACGTAAATAAACAAACACTCTCTGAACTAACACGTTACTGTTCATGTTCACTCTCCTCATCCTCTCCTCTCCTCTCGTCTTCTCTCTTCCTCTCTCCACCCCTTTCTCTTCCCCACTCCTCCCTCTCTCCTCCCCTCTCATCCTCTCTCTTCCCCTCCTCACCTCTCTTCCTCTCTCCTCCTCTCTCCCCCACTCCTCTCTTCCTCCCATCCTGTCCTCCATCCCTCCTTTCATCGTCCTTCAGAGCTATAAGAAAGCTGTAGACGAGGTCAGTGACATTTCTCCTCCTTCACCCCTCTCTCTCTCTCTCTCTCTCTCTCTCTCTCTCTCTGTTTCCCTCCCCCGTCTCCCTCACACTCAGCTCTCCATTCATTCCTCCCGTCTCACCCACTTTACTTCCTGTTATCACTTCAGACATCTCTGCTCTCAGGTTTCATCTACAGTCACTTTCTCTCTTCCTCTTTCTCTAATTCTATCTCCTCTCTCTCTCATCAGGAGGAGCTGGTAAGATAACCCCTCCCCCTCTTGTCCACTTCCTGTTTCCTAACCTCTCACATGCACCGCCCCCTTTTTGCTGCTGATGATGTCACAGAGGATGAATTTAAAGGTCCCTGAACTTTAACCCCTGACCCTCCTGCACTGAGGCATGATGCTCCCCCCCCCATACAAACACTCAGTCATGTGACATAAATTAACACATTAACAGCCTGTTAAACAAACAGTAGAACCCTTTTTATTTCTCTCTCCTGCTTGTTTTATTTAGATCTGCATATTTTCTGATACTGAAATGATTTCTGGGTAAAAACACGTTAAACTGTTTTAAAGCTGGAGATCAGTTCATGTTCACGTTCTGCTGATCGTCTGTTAATCACGTCACCGCGTCTTCACGCAGATGAAACGCTTTATGACGACCTCAGCTGTTTTTAATCTTTGGTTCATTATTTTTTCCATCCAAGGACCTGACGGCTTTGGCCAAAGAGCTGCGAGAGCTGCGCCAGGCGGAGGAGACAAGCCGCCCGCCCGTCAAAGTGACGGACTACTCGTCGTCCAGCGAGGACTCTCACAGCAGCGAGGACGAGGACGGAGAGGGCGGGGCTAACGACGGGTCGGTGGCCGTCAGCGACATACCACGCATCATGTGAGTAGAAGTGTTTCCTGTTTCCTGGGACACGTGCACACACTGCCCACTTTATTAGGGACACTGATGCAGTCCAATAACATCTTTTTCTCTTAATTATTGACTCACGAAATGCAAAGAGAAAAACCAAAGATTCACAATGCTAACAATTAACAAACACAGAAATGTTCCAGCCTAAATGTTTTCTCTGAATCTTTTAAGTTTTTAAAGATACGGTACATTCTACTTTGTACACCTCTGTGTTCAGCAGCAGTTCAGTCAAAGTTTCTCTGATTTGTTGTCGCACGACTGTTGGTCTCAGATGAATCAATCATGGCTTCATAGTTGCGTTGAGGAGCTCAGAATTTAATGTTTTTTACAGAATCTGGTTAAAGTAAATGGTTTATTTGGGGCGAGATTTTAAATGAGAACATGTAGAATACTTATTTAGAATACTTATTTTTTTTTTTTATGAAATATCACAATTTTAAGCTTCGATTTTGGTTGCTTTCTTTTCCAGACGGAAGCGTTTGTCACACATGATGTCTTCAAGGACCATTGGATAGATGAAAATGTGATAATATATATGGATTAAAAATGTGGACTTGTCTCTTTCAGGCCAGCAGCGAGTCAAGGTCCCAACGAGTCCTTCGGCATGATGGGAGGTCACGACGGCCACGACAACTCGTATGGAAACAGCTCTCAGGACGGCACCCTGAGGATGCGTGAGGTGAGTCACTGCTGACCTTTGACCCGAAGACTGTCTCCTCGCCGACTCAGCACAAAGTGTCACCGGACACTTTTCATACGTTTGTCTGTCCAGTGAAAGATTCTGGACTTTGGGCTGATTGGCTGGTTGAACATCTGGCTGGATGTTTCTCAGTTGAGTTATTTGTGATTGTTCTTTTTTTAATTCTTATTTAATAACAGATTCTCGATGTCTGTTATTAAATATATTTAGTTATTTTCCAGCTCATTAAGGCAGCGATTCAGGTTTCTTTTTGCAACTTTTATTTTACATTTTTAACTAAATAGAACAAAACAGTCCCTCACATAAGACCTCAAACACACAAGGGACAAGATAGAATAATAATAGTAATAATTATTTAGCACGTAGTGAATACATAATCATATACACATACACACATTAATAATATATACTACATATATATATACATACACACATGTACACAAAAAAGAATAATACAAATGGGAGGAAAAAATAAATAAATAATATATACTATATATACATATATACACATAAAAATGAAGTAAAATAGAATTAAATATATAAATAATGAAAGTAACTAACTTTTCAGTGATTCGGTTTAATTGGTGTATTAACTGCAGATTTCTACTGATTATTTCCATTTTTTGTATTATTTAGCGTATTATTTTATTGTTAAATTAATTAATTGTTAAGTCTGTAAAATGCCAGGAAATAGTGGACAATGTTCATCACAGCTTTTCCAAAGCTCACTTCGATATTTATTCAGATTTCTTATTTTGTCCGAAATCCAAAAGACATTTCGATTACTGTCCTAAAAGATTAAGTAAAGTTTAGACAATTTGCGGATTAATTTTCCGTCTCGTCAATCAACAAATCAATCATCTCAACTCTGTGAGCGTTCATGTGTTCAATCGTATCATTATCTCCACGGAGGAGGTTCACTTTTAGGTCCGTTGTGGTGTCGCGTCTCGTTGTTTCCAGATTCTTTAGTGTCCACCCAAGCGTCTGTTTGTCAGAAGCCCAAAATACCAAAAAGATGAACAGAAAATATTAACTTTTTTTGGGGGTTCAGTCGACACTCGGCAGGGTTCCTCCCTCCTTCACCTGACCTGTCAATCACAGCCTCGCTGCCCAGTAGCCCGCCCCTCTCTCTCTCTTTCCAGAAGCACGGGGGACGGAGGCGGAGCTCCGCCGCCAGCAACGGTTTCCCCGGCAAAGCCAATCTGTTCCCCGGCAACGCCAATCTCCCTGATTTGTTGCAGCAAAGCACCTCCCCCCTGGTCTCCCCAGGCGACGCCTCTGGGGCCCAAGTAGGTGGAGCGGCACTCAACTGTCTGCCCTCCCCCCACCCCCCCACTCCACACCTGATCCCGACAGTCACCTGTCACCTGTACCCCCCCACCAGTCACAGTAAACTTAAAGAGACAGTAGACATGTTTAGAAGTGTGGTAGTATGAGGTACTTCTCCATAGTCAGTGGAGTACTACAGTGTATTACTACAGTAGATGGAGTACCAGCACGGGAGCAGTACATTACTTTACTCCTGTGCTAGTACTACATCTACTGCAGTAAAACACAGAATATATAACCAGAATCTCACTGAGAAAGAAGTCATTTATGCAGCTTTACTCGTTTTCTTTGCATCACAGAGCTTCAGGGTTTATGAGACTCAAATGACAACATGCGGCACCTTTAATTTCCTGTCCTGTTTATTTCTATTTAGCTTGGCCTCCAGTGTTTTTCCTCTCAGATGGAACAAACATGGATTTATTCCCTCCCTCGCTCCGCTTGTTTTTCCCCTCCCGTTCCCTCTCTGTTTTCCAACTTGTGATCCCAAAAGTGTCCTGATCACATGACGCAGGTAGCTGACAGAATAAAAGAAACGCTGAGAGTTGAAGCGTCTGTGCTGGAGAAAAGTGGAAAGTTGTCGAATCTCTGAACGCACCGCGTTTCCTTTATTTCAACAGTTTCCTGTTTCTTCCCAAAAAGACTGAACGTACCACCAGACGAACATGTGTCTGACTGTAACCTGTGTTTCTGTGATTTCTGCAGTACAGGATGGCAAGCAGCGGAGGCTCCAAGTCTTCCTTCACACCCTTCGTAGATCCGAGGGTGTACGGGACCTCCCCGACCGACGACGACGACGACGACGATAACATCCCGGCCTCGGGTAGGTTTTTTACTCACGGCGTTGAACCTGCAACCTCCAAGAAGGGGGGACACGAGATGAATATAACGGCTCTGGAGACAGTTACAGGAAGAAAAACAACATTCTGCAGGAAATGAGGTTTATTTCTCTGATTTTCTCCAAAGAAGAGAAAGGATAAAAGCACTCGTGGCACTATGAGAAACTTAATAATAATGTTGTCGCGTTGTGCTGCAGCGCTGTTTGCCGACGAGCTGCTGAAGCACGAGCACGAGCAGGAGCAGGCGAGGCTCAACGAGGCCCGGAAGATCTCGGTGGTCAACGTCAACCCGACCAACATCAGGCCGCACAGCGACACGCCGGAGATCCGCAAGTACAAGAAACGCTTCAACTCCGAGATCCTCTGTGCGGCTCTCTGGGGTGAGACGAGAGACGGCTTCACAACAATGGCATTTATGAGTGTGTGCTCACACGGACGGTACATAACAAACATCTCTGTGCAGGAGTGAATCTGCTGGTGGGGACGGAGAACGGCCTGATGCTGCTGGATCGAAGCGGTCAGGGCAAAGTTTACAACCTGATCAATCGACGGCGCTTCCAACAGATGGACGTCCTGGAGGGACTCAACGTCCTGGTCACCATCTCAGGTGGGTATCAAGTACATCAAGTACTGTATGTAAGTTGAGGTACATGTACTTCAGTGTTTTTACATTTCATGCAACTTTATACTTCTGCATCTCAGAGGTACATATTGTACTTTTTACTCTACTACATCTCAGAGGTACATATTGTACTTTTTACTCTACTACATCTCAGAGGTACATATTGCAGTTGAAGTTTCCAACAATCAGTCAGTGTTTCCTGTTTCCCTTGTGACTTGGTCACAGTCGTCTCTTTAATAGTATTAAAATTGTAGTTTGAAACAAGACGGCGATGTTTCTATTTTTGACACTTTTCTCTCTGTATGTTTCTGTTTCTAAAAATAAAACACCTCATAAACACCAGATGCTGGCGATGAAGACATACAATCACAGATCTTTGCAATGATACAGTAAAAAGTCACATTTGACGAGTAGCATTAACACCTGAAGTGTAAACCCTGAGCACATTTACAGTTTTAACATTGTAATTGTCTTTCTCTAACCAGGGAAGAAGAACAAGCTGCGTGTTTACTACCTGTCCTGGCTGAGGAACAGGATCTTACACAACGACCCCGAGGTGGAGAAGAAACAGGGTTGGATCACTGTTGGGGAGCTGGAGGGCTGCGTGCACTACAAAGTCGGTAGGTAAACTCGTTTATGTGGGTTGTGAGGACATTAACATGTTAACACACCAGCATTGTGGGGACTATCCTCCAACTTGGGGACAAAAACTTGGGGTTGATTTCCTCTCTATATCTTTTGATTAATTGGGTGACTACACATTAAGTTACATTTGTATTACTAAATGTGAAGTTTACAAAGCAACAAACATCTATTTTTAACTGTCGTTAAGCATAATTTGACACATCGGACTGTTTTTACGGTGCTCTGCTCTCCTTCTGCAGTGAAGTACGAGAGGATTAAATTCTTGGTGATTGCTCTAAAGAACGCCGTGGAGATCTACGCCTGGGCGCCTAAACCGTATCACAAGTTCATGGCCTTCAAGGTGAGATGCGTCAGGATGTTACCTGAGGTGTTGAAGAGATTGTTAAATGTGGATAAACTTTGTTTTTGGGAACATGTGAGCTAACGAGACGGAAGCAGATGAGCAGCATGATGTTTAGTCATGCTGAGATACAGGATTTGTTTTATAAAAGGGGGCCTGGTAAAGAAATAAACAATGGCTTAAAAAAACATGTAAATAAATCAAGTCGTATAACAATAAACCAGATTGATTTAAGTACAAATCAAGAAAAATTACACTTTATTTTGAAAAATGCTTAAAAGAAGTTGATTTGAACTTTTGGTTCAGGTTGAATTTGTATATCTGTTTAAGGAAAATTTGAATTTTAGGGATCAATAATGAAGAAGAAACACTTAGTTTTTGCAGTGAGGGGAAATTAGACCTCCATAATGTGTACTTTTACCTTTTTGAGTACATTTGGCTGATAATACTTGTGTACTTTTACCTACGTTTCAATTTTAATGTCAACCTTTTTCCTTCGTGTCAGTTGGTTGTTGTGTGCTTTCCTTTGTTGATTTTACACTAAAGTGTTTGATTAATCGCTCTGTGTTCCTCCTCAGTCGTTCACTGAGCTGCAGCATCGCCCCCAGCTGGTCGACCTGACTGTGGAGGAGGGACAGAGGTTAAAGGTCATCTACGGCTCCAGTGTCGGCTTCCATGTCATCGATGTGGACTCTGGAAACCCCTACGACATCTACATCCCCTCACATGTTAGTCTGTGTGTGTGTGTGTCTGTCTGTTTCCGTGTGTGTACGTGTGCGTGTGTCTGTTTGTGTGTGTGTACGTGTGTTTGTGTGTGTGTCTGTTTCTGTGTGCGTGTGTGTCTGTTTCTGTGTGTGTCCTGCAATGTTTAACATCATCAGAACATTAATTAAGTTATATTTAAGTGTGAGATAGCGACTGAGAGAGCGATTGAGCGACTGAGAGAGCGACTGAGAGAGCGACTGAGAGAGCGACTGAGAGAGCGACTGAGAGAGCGACTGAGAGAGCGACTGAGAGAGCGAMTGAGAGAGCAAATGAGCGACAGAGAGCGAGGGCGCGACTGAGAGAGCGAGGGCGCGACTGAGAGAGCGAGGGAGCGGGCGAGGGGGCGTGCGACTGAGGGAGGGAGCGTGCGGCTGAGAGCGAGGGAGCGGGGGAGGGAGGGAGCGAGGGGGCGACTGAGGGAGCGAGCGAGTGAGTGAGGGAGCGAGCGAGTGAATAAGAGAATAAACAAACGGCTCCCTTGATGAATGAATGAATGTATGAGAGAGTGATTGATTGAGGGTGTAGCAGCCTTAATGAATGAAAGGGTGAATCGGCGTCCTCTAACTCCGGTCTTGTTACAGTAAGAGACGCTGGAAGGAGACGGTAACCATGGCGACCGCCTCACATTGCTTTCTGGCGTCATGACTCACGCTGTGCTCATGTCTGTTTCCATGGCGATGGCGTGGGAGACTCTATTGTTGCAGCAGTTTCTTCTCTCTCAGGGCGGGGGGGGGGGGGGGGGGTAGGGGTTACCCACCTGTAGGCTCACGGCAGCTCCTAATCCCCTGCCCCAACCCCCCCTCCAACCCCCCCCCTCCCGTGTGTCGCCCCGGCAGATTCAGGGTCAGGTGACCCCGCACGCCATCGTGGTTCTGCCCAAGACGGACGGCATGGAGATGCTGCTGTGCTACGAGGACGAGGGCGTCTACGTCAACACCTACGGACGCATCACCAAAGACGTGGTGCTGCAGTGGGGCGAGATGCCCACCTCCGTCGGTACGTCAACCCCAAAAATCAGCTCGCTTCTCCCCCTGACCCCTGACCTCTGACCTCCTGTAAGCGGTGTCAGCAGGTCATCTTTTCACCCCTCACTACTATCTACCACACCTCCGTTCAAAGCAACACTCCTCTCTCTCCTCCTGCCTTCTGCTTTCAGTTGCGCCTTTAAAACGAGGAGCCCAGACTGTAGCCTCACCTGTCTCATTACCGGCTCAAAGGAGTACCACAGGGTTTCTTTGGGAGGTTGAACCGACCGTTCAACTTTATTTGGTGACGTGATGAAAACATGCAGTCGGAAGCCCAAAAACATCATCCTCGTAAAACTGATTGCTCTGTTGCTTCATGCTAACACTTTGTTGAATAATAAGCTGCTTTGGGCTTTTATTTTGGTGAATGAGGGGAAATAATATCACAAGATTGTAAATCGGCCGATATTCATGTTTTAACTTTAACAGACAAGTGTTCCTTAAATGTGTTTTTTGTCAATAGACACGCTAGCGGCTCTTTAACGCTGTAATGCTCATTATAACGAAAAAATATATAAACCAAAGTATTAGACAAATGGTGCCAGAGGACAATTCAAGCAACTTGATCTCATGCGCCGTGCCTTTAAGCAGCATTTTAAGTACATTTTTGCCATTTCACGTGTCATTTGATGCCACGTTGTTACCGTGAAACAGACGCATGTTTAGGCAAAAAACCACTTAGTTAGGTTCAGGAAAAACATCATGGTTTGGATTAAACTAAGTACGACATAAACAACGCAACACTGTAATTGTTATTTATTACGCTCGTTACGTTGTTACATTATGTTGTTAAGTAACATTGTTACGCTTGTTACATTAAACAAATCTGCTACGGGCAATTTATTTACGCTAGAGACATTGAATTACGCTGTAATGTTACGTTGCTACATAATGTAACGTAAGTGCAGAAAACACGTCACAAACATCACTAACGTAACTTCAAAATAATTAAATAACACTTTGGGACACGAACACCGGCCTCCAGGTTGAAAGTCCTGTGTTTGTTCACTTTTTATACTACGACACTTCCGTATGATTTGCAGAAACAAATTACATTTAAATAACAAGAATGTTGTTGTTGTTTCACGAATACAGGGACAAAATGTAACTTATATAAAATGTGTATTTGTGGTCGACTAATATGAATTAACTGAATGTACTATATGTTAAATTAGAAGTGATGTGTGTATATATATGTGTGTGTGTATATATATATATGTGTGTATGTATATATGTATATATATATATATATATACATACATACATACATACATACATACATACATACATACAGAGATGTTAACAGGTAGTAAAACAGCAGGTAAAGTGATAATAGCGAAGTGATAAGTATGAACAATTCGCTGATAACATGTATATCATAAAATGGCAAAAGCCTGCAAACC